ACAAATTCCACCCTCCACACCCCATTTGGCTACAAATGAAATGAATTATTTTTATTATCAGTATGGAAACCTTGATGTTGCACTTACAATATTTTTCCCATATTTGAGATCCATCAGCATGTCTTATGTTTACTCTTTCCTCTTAACTATTTTTCACACTTTCTGTCATTCTAGCTTGGAGAAGAGGAGAAAAATATGATGCCCTGAACTAGCTGTTATTTTTTACTTTTCTCATCAGTGGCAAGTAATCCAGAATAGCTGGGCTTTTTTCAGTTTGCATTTGACAAATGGATAATGGAGTTTAGCCTTTTAAAAATGTCTTTGTGTTACAGATTTCTGTGTACTATGTGATCCATGACAATACACAGATACTTTTCTGCAGTAGTACTCCAGGGGTTATTCTTGTTTGTGCATTGGGTTTCTCCATTTGGAGAGCACAGCACTGAAACTTCTGCTGGACTTGGGGTTTGAGTTGGGGGTTTTTTGGGTTGTAGTTTTCTTTGGCTGCTGTTCTAATTGATCCAAATAATTTTGCATTTTAAGGTTTTCCTACAAAGAACAAAAATGGATGGCTGCCTTATTGCTGCTGACAGAATGAGGCGCATTCATGGTTGCAGCTATGGAGCCTTGGGCTGGCCTGGATTCAGATTGTTCTGTGCCTAAGGTTTTGCCTTTAATTGATGTGGTAATCTGCCTTTATATGGCCTGTCTGGTTAGAAGTGCTTGGAGCTTGCTTAGGAATGTGGCACATAACACCAATCAGTAATTAGCTATTGTGAATATTTTCAGTATTTTTCAGTCTATGTACAAAAGCAGGATGGAAAGATCTTTCTCCTGACATGTTATCCAGTATGTTCAGGCACAGCACTTTTTAGGACTTTTGTCACAAGACAGCAAAGGCACAGTTTGGAATCAGCAGACTTTTGGTTATTGTTTCTTGGTAAGTGTGTCTACTACTGAGATGTCTGATCTGTATAAAGCTTTGGGATCACTGATTTATTGCTTTGTCTGAGTATCCTAAATATATGAGCTTGGGAAGACACAGGCTTGAAGGTGACATCCTACCTGATCATCTCTGTTGATTTTTGTTTTCTATAGTAGAAGTGTATTTCTGCAATGTATTTTGCTGTCTCCTTCTGATCCTCCTTAGGAAATACTCCTATGTGCTACACGGTTACAGCCTGTTTGGAAATGAGCTTCATGTGTCACTCTTATGTTTCCTCACATAGTACCTCCCAGTCTGAACTGAGTCAAAATCACTAGTTTGCCTTGCTTTCCACTCCTTTTAGATGGTACAGTCTCTCAGCAGTCCTGAGGTCCCTAACCCTGTGTATTGCCAATTTCCTAAAGTATGATGTCCGATATTCTGGGGAAGATTTACAGGTGGGGCAGTAAGAATATTATTGGGGTGGAGCTCTTCATAACCCCAGCTCTTCTGACATCTATCAGAAAATCAGAAACAAAGGCTGGGTTTTTTTTAACTGAAGATGTAGATTTGTTTTCATTCATAACTTACTCAAGAAAAATCAACAAGCATTATTATGAGCTGAGATCAGTTTAAAAGGAGCTATGGAGAAGTGGTCACAAGAAAATGAAATTAATGTAGAACATTATGCTGAGACAGATCTGTAACATAAAAGGAAAAATATGTATTAAAAATGACAAGTCATAACAGTCTTAAAGATATGTAGGTAAAATAATGGAGTTTCAGAGGCTAAAAATTATAAGGTTTCCGCACTGACTTAGTGGTGTTATATAGCTTGTGTGCTTTGGAGAGAAATTCAGCAAGTGTTAATTAACAATGGCACTTTAAAATTCTTCCAAAAACTGATAACAGGGATTCATTATTTATATTATTAACAGGGAAGTGTTGCAGAAAAATGTTTCTCTTTTTAGTTCAATTTTTTAGGTCTTAATATATTGTATTTCCGAATATATTACTTTGCCATTCTAACGTGGAGGAAATAGTGTGCAATGAAAATGAGGCAATCTTAAAGTGGACAAGTGAGTTGGAGGCTGGTACTCTCATTTTGTAGAGGCTGTGGATGTACCCCTGGCCCTAATTAAAGAATGCTATCACTGAATTCAGTGCATCCACTATTACACACAGCAGACTGAATCCCTCCCAGCAGTTCTTCTGGAGCAACCCCATCAGCTTGTTCCATTGGGGTAATGGAATGCAGAATTCATCCAAAGAAAAACAAAAAATTCAGTGTTACATCAGGTTAGTTTTAGTTAACTAATAAAAAAGGCTTGATGCTTTCAGAGTTTTGTTATCCTGTTTTTGCAATTGCAGTCTTGAATTGCAATTACAGTCTTTAATTGTCTCATCTGAATGTAGTATAAGCAGGCAGGAGCACTTCATATAAAGTGACGTTAACGCATTTTTCTCTCTTTTTGTCAATAAGGTACATTGCCACAAACCCACAATGTTGATTATTAACAGCCTCCTCTACACTGCAGAGTAGCTTCAGTGACTCTGCAAATTGGCTAGATTTGAAGCTGTTCATTATGCAGTATAGTGTGCTTCATAAAGACAGAAATGAATATGACTTGGCTCGGATCTTGTGAGAATAAATTGTAAAAATTGGACCTCTGTTTGGTTTGAATTCTGGCTTCACAGAGAACACGGACATTCCATATGATAGGCTTGGCAAGTACAAATCGTGTACTCCATTAAAAAATGTGAATGTTCATGTAAAGTTGCATACCTGGCAGAAAGTCAGGGGCTCTGCAGAGGTCCAAGTCTCATTAATAGGGGGTGCTTTTTATCATTTTGTCAAAGAAACTGAGAAGTATCTTAAATCCAAATATTGTGTAAATCATAAAGAATGGGGGGTTTCTTTCTTCCCTGCACTCACCAGCCACACTTGTAAGTGTCTAGAGCTGCCTGGCGGCATTGTGAAGTCACCGTCTGCCTGCTGGAGAGGAAAAGGCACGTTCACCAACACATACTGCTCATCTCACAGCCAGGCAAACCATAACTGAGGCTGAGGGAACAGGCATCTTTTAGCTAGGCTCTCTGTTTAGCTTTTTATGGCAATGTAGTTGTTGCATAAAAAATTATGACAAGATACTTTTACCTTAGGTTTCCACCTATGCATCATGGCATTTGCAGGATGATACTACTTCTGAAGCAAATCTGTACAAATTTGCATCATCTTTCTTAAGTGTGAAAGCAGATGCACAAACCATAGAATAAAAAAAATGCTCCATAAATTTGTAAATCTTCTAGAAATATATTCAGATAAGGAAATATTATGTCAAATATATGAATGTACCTTTATAACTGTTGTAAGATTGCAGCACTGTAACTGATTCTAGTTGAAGTACCCTGAAAGCAGTATTAAATGTTCAGTATGTCAGAGTGATGAAAAGTAAAATGTCACTTTTGCAGTTCTAAAAATTTAAGTGAGCTATTTAAAAAGAACAGTACGCCTGGGATTTCAACTGGGGTTTTTTTTTAAAACTGTCAGTGAGAGAAAATTACTTCCTCAACCAGCGTCTTAATCCATAAAGAATCCAAAGAGGATTCTATAGTTTAAACATACTAAAATAATAAGTGTTAAATTCCTGTAACTGTTTGGTGTCATTTGAACTCTGCAGTAAATGCAGAAATTTATCTGGTGGAGGTTTTTATTGACCAGTAAGAAAGGGAATACTTGAGAGAAAACCTTAACTGTATGATTCAGGCTAACATGTAGCATTAAGTTTCTTATCAACAAGATGTATTAAAATGGAGAAAATGAACCAGCAAAGCCATTTTGGGAGCGGTATTATTAAATTCACAGTTTGCTGCTGCTAATTTGTTAGTAGGCTTCAGTTGTTCAACAAAGCTCATACACTCATTTTGCAAAACTGATTATTAGATGAAATGCCCTCTGTCATTGCCATGGGAGAAATAGCTCTGAATCAGAGCTGTGTCACAAATGCAGTTAGCTGAATGATCTCAGCTCAATGCCATTTACCTAACAGAATTATGAAGATGATGCTGATATAATGAATAGGTTCTGCTTGGACAAATGAAGTCCCCTGGAGATAATGGAAATTTGGTGAAGAGCTCTTTGTTTTGTTTGGTTTATATGAAGAGCTTGGACTCTAATTCAGTCCTTGCACTTCTATCTGAATTATGTTACTTTATGGTTACTTATTTTGATTTGACAAACTTCATTTGAGGGACAGAGATTCAATTATAGAGCTCTCCAAGCTTGCTGCTTCTGGAAGGTATTTTCTCTTAAATTGTGCTTCTTTAGCAGGTATGTTTTATTCACTTTGATGAAATAGGTCTTAACTAGAATAGCATGGTTGTTAGAGTCAATATGGGACGGAATTCTTTCACGTGTTCTACAAAGATTGTTGTGTTTTGTAGTCAGTGTTTCATGAGCAAACTCAGGAACCAGCTATAGTCAATTCTGAAGGAACCTTCCCACCATTTGTTTTTTTTTTTTTTTCATTAATAATGTTGTTTATAGTCATACTTGTAAGAAAATTTTCAGAACACATGTTTTTTCCATTTTTCATGTGCAAATAGTGAACCATATACCAGTATGGGTCAAAGAGAAATGATAATACTGTGGACATTGTAAATAAACACTTACTTTAAGCATCTCATAATAAAACTGAATCTCAAATGAAAAAAAAATGCAATATTAAGATTATGATTTTCACAAACTAAACTGTTCCCTGGTGTAAATTTCTGTTTCACCACCATATTCTTGAAACACAGCAAGAAACAAGAATGTTCTTCTGTGGTGAGTCTTTATGGATGTTTAATGACACTATAAAGTATAGAGAACTGTACCTATCAGAGCTCTTGACATTTTTCAGGGACATTTATTTGGAAAGAATTTCTGTTGGAATGTAAGGAATAGTTTTTCTTGTGCATCCAGAAATGTACATGTAGAACAGACCAGCATGGTAAAATATTTTTGCTGTTAAAAGCATTGTGAGTTAGTAGTTGCCATGAGTATATATAATAAAATAAATATTAATTCTTTTAGGGTGAAAAAGGAGATAAAGGAGAACCAGGACCAGAAGGCCTTCCTGGAACAGAGGTAAATGGAACAATAATGAAACAGTCAAGTTACAAACTTCTGGGTGGATGGTTAAGAAATGCGATTCAGACTCTATGTAAGAAGAGTGATGGATTTAGAAATTGGGTATGCCTGGAGATAAAGTTTGCTTTATACCCTCTTTCTGTCCTTCTCCCTGTTGAGCTTGATGGGGGTTACCCTGGCTTTAGGTTTTAATGCTGGATAATCTTAGTTCTCCAAGTGCAAAACATTGCTGGTGAAGGCAGAGAGCATCTCCCAGATGGGGAATGACTGATATTAGGACTAGAATCCAGGCACAGGACTTGGAAAAAATATTCAGTGATACTTTTTTAAGCACCTTTTCCAAAGGAATAAAAGGGTCAGCATTTAACACAGTCTAGCTGGGGCTACTGAAAATGCACTAACACAGGCTGTGAAATTATGACCCTTTTTGCATCTCCTGGCTTTCTATGCACACTGTAACCATAAAAATATTTTTCCTGTTTTAGGTAATTATAATTTAATGCTGGGTAAATCAGGCTATTTTTAAGTGGATGTCCTTCATGTGAGAACATGCACTATGTACTAAGCTGAAGCTACATTTAGGTATTTGTAGAGGTATTCTCTTGTAGCCTGTCTGTCTGCAAAGGTGAACCATATACTTCTCTCATACATACATATATGCTGACAGCATGGAAAAAACACATCTGTGTTTCTTTCCATAGCTCTGGCAATTCTGTGTTGGTCTTACATGATCTTCTTTACTACATGAGATCTTGTTCCATTAACCTTTTAGAAAGAGTAAGGTATACCAAGTATCTAATTAACTCTAGGACATATTTAACATAGTGGCACTATGAAAGTAAAAAATACTGAACGTTTATATTTTTAAATATTTACTGAACGATTGCAATGTGTCAGTAAATGGTAGATTGTTATTATGGGAACTGTCATTAAAACATTACAACTGAAGTAAAACTGCATATGGCAGTATAACTGTATTGTTTGAAACCACACATAATTCCCTTTTAGCAACACTTACATAAGATGCTTTGAACTCAGTTATCACTCTGCATGGACATATCAGTCCTTAAATTTACAGGATTGTGTATCATTGACTCTTTAGTTTCTATACACTGATAATTTGTTCTGCAAGCAGAAATGTAACATCTGATATTTCTGCAATAATCAAGTTAATCTGCTTACATTGGTGTAATCTACAGTGCTGTATAAAAACAGCCTGAAAACACTTAAAACCTAGTGGCATTGCCTTCTGGCAGGTGTGTCTCTGCCTGGGGGAGTGAGGGTTTCCATCCTCACAAGGACTTGAAAATGATGACTGAACATTTTTGCTTGAACAAATGGTAGAAACATATTTGAATGTATTTTAATCAAAATCAGAAAAGCAGGTGTCACAGAAAACTTTTGCTTGCTGTTGCTAACTTGTGTTTTCTTGGCTGTACAGAAAGTTCTTACTAGAAAGAAGTAGCATGACAGAGGGGAAGCCAGACGTGGTTTGGAGACTAGGCTGTAGTGATGATATACCTAGAAAGTTTTAATTTCCTCTTCTCTCACTCATGCTAACTGGCTCAGATAGTCTCATTGAGAACCAGGTTTCGAGGCGGGAACTGTGAATATATCTAAATGTTCTGCACATCTCCCAGTTTATCTCTCCAGTAATCTGAGCCAAGTTCTACAATGCCGTGTCCCAGCCTGGGACATTATTCAAAATCCATCTGACAACATGAATACTTGCTATAAATACTACTACTGTGGTTGCCATTGTTTTTGGTTTCCTAAGGAGTAGTTATAAATAACTTAATATATTACTAATGTAGTCCTCCTGTAGTACATGTCCATGTCTCTAAGCAGGTATTTGCTTTTATATGTTGAACAGCCAGTTTGAATAGTATCTCTTTCATCCCTTGAGACTCTTTTACCCACTAGACATTAAACTCAGGTGCCACATTGCTGCCACTAAAATCATGTAATTTTTAAAAGATGTTGTTTCCCTTCACCATTCTTGTGGATATTTTGTTTTACAGTTGGGTGTGTGACCTGTCTGCTTTTTTAACTGGGGAGTTATGAGTTGTCTGGTCTAGTTGACAAGGTGGTTATCAGTGAAAGGTTGGACTCGATGATCTTGGAAGTCTTTTCCAACCTTAATGATCTGTGATTCTGTAATAATGCTGTCCACTGTAATAAATGACGCTTCATAGAGAAACTATGGGAAAAAAATCATAAAAACACTCATAGCCTGTGTGGAATAAGGACAAATTTGCTATATAAATATCCATGAAGCTATCTGTGGAGTATGTTCTCTGTTACGTCCATATGTCTGCCTGTTGATCTGAGGTGAAAAGAAGATCTTTATCACTGAAACTTTTAGACTCTTTTTGAGTCATGTTGCTTTCTTGATCACTGGTGCAGGTAGGAATGAATGCCATGGGATACTGCCAATTACTATTTTCTGACATAAATTAAATCCTTCAGCAAAAGTAAGTCAAAACAGCAAGTTTTATCATATCTGTCAGCATGTGTCATGCATAGCTGGTAGAGGAATAGTGTCTTTCTTGTAAGTGGGAGAAAAAAAAGTTAAAGAAATCTGAAAATAAAATCTAGTGTATATATATTAAACCAAGTATTTAACTGGTTATTTCTCTTGCTGGGCGAGGTAATACCATAAGTGACTTTTCTAAAACTTTCCTACATAAAATTTAATTCTTTGCATACTTGATGTCAAAGGATGAACATCTTAAGTTCAGTAAGCAATACAAGAATCCCAGGTTTTCAATGGAAAGATGGAAAACATAAGACCTTTTTATTTTGATGCTTGTGGGAAAAGGTAATCAGAAGTGTGATCATGTTTAAAGGGATACTGCATCTTGTTGTAATAGCAATAGTTGTTTACCTTCACACCCTCAGGGCCTGTCTGTCTAATATCTTAATATTAGCATTGCAAGGAAATACCTGAACAGGAAGGGAATAATCCTATTGCTTGAAAAAGTGAAGTTCATGATGATTTTTGTTCATATCTAGAGTCTGAGAATTCTGTTAGGAAAAAAAGTGTTAGGAGATAGTAGATTTAATTTAGGGTCCTGTGAATTCTAGTAATATACCAGTTTGAAGTTTTGGAGCTCCATTAATGAGAAAAGAGCATTGTCAGTATTTAAAAGTACCTGAGACATAAACTGAAAAAAAGTATATTGTTGAAAACACTTTGCTATATTAGAAAAGTTATCCCAGCATATCCAGGTTCGCATTGTACAGCTGACTTTGAAGCTGTTCTTAACTTAGATTTTAAGGCTGCTCTGTGAAGGAAATGTAGTACTGCTCTTAGTGGTTAGAGTATTACCACGCTCTGTTACTCAGTAGAGATAACTGATCTGATCTGTAATAATGGGTTGCACATTGTTGGTTAAATTGTTGGGTTGTGTACTGTATTTCCAGTACACTAGATAATATGTATTGTTCTAGGAGAGTTCCACCTGGTGTGACATTGAACCAGGCCGTGGAATTGCAAACCGTGGAATTGCAAGTAACAAATTATGTTTTCCCCAAAAGGTATCTTTTAGAGTTGAAAATGTGTTCTTCTGAATATATGGTTGCAGTCTGACTGAATTTCCATTGCCACGTGTGTGCAGCACAGTTTATGCTGTACAAATAGGTGCAATTCCAGCAAGCAACATTTGGCTCCTGCAAGGAGCTGCTGGAGTCTTCTGGTTGGGGTCCAGGTGTCTTTGCAATTTTTCATTGAGAAGAGTACCTGCTGTCAGCTGGTGGTACATTTTACCTGTTTTATCAGTTTTTCATTCATTCCACCAGAAGTACCATTGTCATCCCCTCCAAACAAAAACACTGCCTCTAATTTAATCTTTCCCTCATCGACCCCAATTCACACCCTTACTGATATTTGTGATATACTTGTCCCAGTAATTTCTCTGTTGGTTGGAAATTGCATTACAGTTATCCAACTTATTTTATATATGTATATAGAATATTTATCTTTTTTTGCTATTTCCAGTATTGTTATCTTGTTAGCTTTGAATTGCCCTTGTGTATACATATTCTAATGCTTACTTTACATTTTGGTTTCCACAGAGGAGCCATAATGTAAATTTATCTTGACCTTTAAAAAGACCAAGCTGTAGTCCTTTTAGAGGAGAAAATGCTTCAGCTGAAGACTGTTCATGAACTCATAAATGTATGTTATATTGGTCCCAAAAATCTAGAATTAGACTGGGATAGAATTCAATACCCAATTAATTTACTCTCTGTTATAAAAGGAATTTTTAATCTGTTCCTGAATTTCTGGCAAATCTGGTAACAGACTCCTTAGATCAATAGAAATTTGTTTGTTTTTAAAGCTGACCTTGTTCTCCTAAAACATTGCAGAAAATGAGCTTTTCTAACTTAAGGCTTCGTCTAAAATCATCCAAATTGTGTCTGTTTAGATAACCACATTCATTTTACTGAAGCATCCTGTTCTGGTTTCTGCCAGAGACAGGATACCCTACTGTACTGTGCTAAAAGGGGCCACAAATTTGACTTGGCACAGGAATTCTTTCTTCTTACGGCATTTCAGAGACAGTGAGCCAGCAGCTAAACCTCTCAGCAGCTTCAAAAGGGTGACTGTAGGAAAGAACAGGCATGGTGCATCCCCACATGTGTTTTTTGCAAGCATTCACTCTGTCTGGAACTTACTGAATTTATTATATTTTTAAATGCATATATAATATGTAGGCAAACCAGAAATACTTATAATGGGTCTATAACATTGGGTCCTTTAAAATACTCCTTCAAACACTGTAAGATTTCCTGTAAAACATGTAGTTTCCCCTTGTCCTTTTTATTTGAGGTTAATTGTATTTATTTGAGGTCATCATCTCTGCAGTAGCTGTCAGACTGCACACCTCACTGAGGTGCTCTGGCAGAAACACTGCTAAAAGCTTTAAACACAGCAATTAGGAAAAAATAAGGTTCATAGTTTGAAAGTGCATGGCTCAGGCTCAGCATCTTTCATCTGCAGTTGCATTTTCTATTCAGCAGAGACACACAGATATATGTCACCATCTGTGAGTTGCAGATTTTTTTTTTAGCCGTATCTTTTATCTTCTGTAAACATACAGCCTAAGAGCTAATTCCTAAACTCAAAACTATTGCTCCACAGCTGATTTGCTAGTATTGATTTTGAATCAAATCCATACAGCTTGCACACCTGAAAAATCCCTAAAATGGCTTTAAGAATATGGATTAGTTGTGTTTTATGCATTCTTTCACAAGGAGGTTGAAAGTAAAATGTAGCAAATGGAGACAATATTAAAGCTATGTCATAAATATGCAGACTGTAAAAAGAAAGCAATTTTTTGGCTTAGTTTTTGAATCCATCTGCCTATTACATTTTTTAAGTTCAAACAGCAAAACTACTTCTGATTTAACTATTACATATTTGGCAAGCTTAATAAAGAACAAATCAAAGCTAAATCAGGGGTATTTACAACAACCACAAATTTAATCCAAAGTGGGTACTTAAATGCTCATATAGTTCTAAATGATGTTCCTTCCAGATGGTGAATTAATGTAATTTTAGCAGGAAGTGAAGTTGCACAAATACGCAGTATTTAGAACACTCATTGATTTCATGTTTCTCTACCCACCAAGGCACAGATGTTAGTTACCATTTTCGTGCCAGTTGTCTCTATCTTCCTAATAATTGCAAACTGAGGAAGAGAGTTTGCAAGGATAAAAAGGGATCTGGGAAGAAGTTTAGTTTGTAAACCCTAATTCAGATGTAAATTAATTTTTTCTACCCTTGACCTATTTAACCTCCAGAAATAATAAAGATAGTGGTCTACTTGTGGAGCATCTTATTATGATTGGGTCTTGTATTGCCTCCATTGTTGCCATTTCATTTTTAAGTAAAATTTTTTAACTTGTAGAGGTGTCTCTGACTTTCAATATACACAGCCTCTCATGCCACTAAAGCAGTGGTTAGAGGGAAGGCACAAGACAAATCTCTTGGCTTAAATAAAAGTGAATTCCTGGTAGGTTGGTCCAGCATGATAATTAAGTTCATTCATTGCTGTAGAATGGCTTGAATTTGCTAGGCATATTTTGAAACCCTTCATTTTTCCATTTGTTTTGCAGCAGGGAGAACACAACAAAGATTGTGTGCCGGGTACTAAAGATATTTTGTGGGAATTTTTTTGGTGCTTCTGGTGAGAACTTCTTAGTGGAAGAGTTGTATAAAAGATATTGTAGAGGATAGATTCAGACTAGGTGTAAGTAGGAAACAGTTTACAATGAAAATGGTGAACACTGGAAAAGGTTTCTCACAGAGGCTCTGGATGTCCCATCCCTGGAAACTTTAATGAGTAGCTTGGACAGGGCTCTGAGCAACCTGATCCAGTTGGCAATGTTTGCTGCAGGGGAGGTTGAACCAGATGATCTCGAGGAGTCCCTTCCAACCCAAACCACTCTGATCCTGCAAGTGTGAAATGGCTGTGCATGCAAAGTGTAAGGCTAGGCTGTACTAATTGCTTGTCCTGTTGAAGGCAGAGTAAAGAAGGAGGTCTGAAGGAAATGGATTATTTCTCTAATTGCCCTTGTGAACACTGGTGAAAATGGGAGTGTGGGAAGATGTGCAGCAGCTCTGAGTTGCGCCTTCCTGGAGCTCATCAGTTCAGCACTGCTACTTGAAACATAAAATCTGCCATTCTCTGTCCACCTCTGCCTCTTTCCCAATTTTAGCAGAGCTCAAGTGAATGTACTAGCACTCTCTCTGATATTCTATTTTATCTTTTTTGGCCATGCAAGACTGCAAAAGAACTTTGCATTTCTTCTCACTACTTAGCATAATGGGGCACAATAAAGTAGATTGGCTTTGTTTAATTATGTGTTGTTTAATTTTGTTCATGTTTAATTATGTGTTGAAGACACATGTGGTCTTTGATAGATATGTGTCTGTTCACAAAATAATGAAAATAAAGCATTTCAAGATAGCACTAATAACATGATAGAATTTTAAGGCCTATTTGTTTAGTGTATACTACTTCACAGTGCTACAGAATTTTGTCCTGTAATTTTTCACCGATGGCAACAAATATGCATTTCTCTTTTTGCCCAGGGACTAAAAGGTGACCCTGGCAGTCCTGGTGTGGCTGGTCCAAAAGGAGAAAAGGTACCTTTTTAAAGCTGTTAAGTTGTATGTATATGCGAGTGTGCATGATATTCTTCAGTTCTGAACACATTGCCACAACTATGTGTGGCAAACACCCACTGCTGCCATTTGTGCAACTTAAGGGTTAAAGAATATGAGTACAGGCTAACTGTAAATGCAAAAGACAAGTACCCTTTATCACAATGAAATTTAAAAGGAGTTCTGAGCAAGAGCCTAAATTTGGTGTTCTGAATTGCTCTCTGGGTGAACTAATTTGCTCCCATGAACTAAACCTGAAGATCTCAGATGTGATTTGTACCTCAGTGACCTAATTCTGTGAATATTCACACAGTCAGATTTCTTTACATATGTGAGCTGTCACACTGGCTTCAGCAGCCACCTTTGCATGTAAGCTGCAGCTTGTAACTTGACATATGGAAATGTGTTTTGAAGGATTGCTTTTTTTAAGCTGTGATTCATTTATGCAGAGGCCTGGCAACTTTTTTCCCCTTTAATCTGCAGTGAACTGAGTATATCTCTGCCACTACTGGAGAAGAATATCACTTTACTTGCATATTTTCATAATCAACATGTTTGATGATGTTTGATCATGAGTGTAAATCACTTCTGCAGTGCTGCATATTCTCTAAAAGGTCTAGAGGTTAAATGTGTATAACTAAAGAGATTGTTGATTTAGTTCCTCTCCTGTTTTAATTAGGGAGATGCAGGACCTCCAGGACCAGCTGCCTTGAGTGTGAGTACAAGAAAAACAGCCAAAAGAAAATCCCTAAGAAATGCTGCATGTTTTTCACTAATTTGCAGTGTGAATACTCCCACTAATAAATCTAAAAGTCACGTCTCTTTCTTCATAGTGCCTCTGCATTTTCTGTATGACTTGTGAAGGGAATTCTAAATATTAAAAAAAAAATAAATAAGCAGGTTTAAAACTCCTTGTTTCCTCCCAAATGCTAACAAGAATATCATCTTGTTTATTCCATGTGTGAATAATATAGACTTGTTCCAGTGAAAGAATTCCCTTGTTATTTTAAGGAAAAGCATTTTTCAGTAAAAGGTTGCAAAAATGATCAATGCGTTTAGGGTATTGTATTCTGGCTAGATACTGCTGTATGGATAGTGGAAAATGTTCTTAATTTCCTTGCAATCCAGATACCAGGCATTACCAAGCCTGAAGAAAAGTGTCCCCAGAACTCTCCTGAGCGTGTCTTGTTTGCTCATAAAAGTAATAAATCCTGTCTGAATTCTATGACTTCACATGCTTCTGCTCATGAGCTGAAATGTAAAGCCTTTCCATTCAGAACAGTCTATTTGGGCAAAAACCATTCAAAATGGTGCAAAAGAGTGTGGCAAAAATGAACAAGAAAAAAAAAAAGATAAGAGCTTCCAAATTCCCAGGCTGTAGTTTCGCAACATGAATAGCTCTTCTCCTAGACTCAGTGTTATGAGCCACATCCATACTGTTCATATTATGCATGTAATCCTAAATAAACTTCAAAAGAACTGTCATTCATAGTGTAAATGTTTATACATGGTCTTTTCCCTCCCTTAATTTCCAACGTTGTAGCAGCAGGATCTCCATTAAAGCTTACAAACATTGAAGGGTATGACAGAGACCCATAAGATAAAAATAAATTTTACTCTTTAGGTGTCAAAATTAAGTTGCCATGTTTTAGACTACTTGTTTTTTGGATTATGAATTATAGTATGCTGTATCTCTATTTCCTGGGAAGAAGTTAGTGTTTTGTCCCAAGATCAGTGACTCTTTGCTGCAGTTCATATCTTACTGGAGGTAAACAGGTCCATTTATATCCTTTAGTTCTTGAATATACAAACTCTATGTTGGAAGAGTTAATACATTATTAAAATATTATTAGTAACCTGCAATTTTACTGTAGTAGATGCGTTGAAGTATGTCTTGTTTTAGATAGACTCTTACAGGCCTTGAAGGGATCATAGGAATAGAAATCAGACATGTCTGAAGATAAGACAGGTAAAGAACCTGAGGATATCTATTTTGTGTGTACTCTAAGACCATAGAACAGTCTTTTTGAGACATTTTTATGTAAATTATTGAAAAATTAGTACATCTGTTCTGATAGAAGTACCTGGATATGTTACATCTCTTTTTTTAATGTGTTCATTGTCTTAAGTTGCAGTTGTGGTCACTTAGCTTTCCTAAGAATCATACTCAGAGGTCAGTAGTATGATAGCAAGAATCAGAGAATATGCTGAGTTGGAAGGGACCCACAAGTTGAAAGGGATTGACAAGCCCCTACTCCCTGCCCTGCACAGATCCATCCCAAAGAGTCACACCACACACAATGCCTGAGAGCATTGTCCAAATGCTTCTTGAACTTTATCAGGCTGGTACTGTCACCACTTCCCTGTGGAGCCTATTCCAGTGCTCAACCACCCTCTGGGTGAAGAAACTTTTCCTGATACCCAAACTAAGCCTTCTCTGACACAACTTCAGGCCATTCCGTTGGATCCTGTCTCTGGTCACCACAGAGCAGAGATCAGAGCCTGCCCCTCCTCTTCCCCTCACAAGGAAGCTGTAACTGCAGTGAGGTTTCTCCTCAGTCTCTTCCAGGCTGAACAGACCCAGTGCCCTCAGCTGCTCTTCCCTGCAAGGCCCTTCTTTCTCCTTGTGGCCCTCATTTGGACACTCTCTAGGAAACACCACACACAATGCCTGAGAGCATTGTCCAAATGCTTCTTGAACTTTATCAGGCTGGTACTGTCACCACTTCCCTGTGGAGCCTATTCCAGTGCTCAACCACCCTCTGGGTGAAGAAACTTTTCCTGATACCCAAACTAAGCCTCCTCTGACACAACTTCAGGCCATTCCGTTGGATCTTGTCTCTGGTCACCACAGAGCAGAGATCAGAGCCTGCCCCTCCTCTTCCCCTCACAAGGAAGCTGTAACTGCAGTGAGGTTTCTCCTCAGTCTCTTCCAGGCTGAACAGACCCAGTGCCCTCAGCTGCTCTGCCCTGCAAGGCCCTTCTTTCTCCTGGTGGCCCTCATTTGGACACTCTCTAGGAACTTTATATCTTTCTTATATTATGGTGCCCAAAACTGCACAGAATATTCCAGGTGAGGCCATCCCAGTGCAGGGCAGAGTGGGACAATCCCCTCCCTTGCCCAGCTGGCGATGCTGTGCCTAATGCCCCCCAGAAGAGGCACCTCCTGTACCTCCTGGCTGCCAGGGCACACTGCTTTCAGATTGACTGAACTTATTCCTTCTGTACCTGAAGTGATCCAATTCATTAAATGGATGTCAAAGAATTGCATTTCTTTGACTAAAAAATGCTTTGCAAATGTTTCAGTTCGTTGATTCTAGCACAAGAAGGTGTCTTTCTGTTGGTACATTTACTGATGGTCACCTTTACACTTTTAAAAAGAAAATATTTAAATTTTAGGGAAGCAGACACAGTCTTCAGAGGGATGTTAGTAACTGATGTAGACAAGAGTGAGTGTGAATGGGTTTAGCAGTTTGAAGACAGATTACAGCAGAGTGGGAATACACAGCCCAGCAGGAAGTCTTTCTCTCTTGGCCACTGTAAATCATTGTGTGTTTCTCTTGGCAAGAGCTAAAAGAAGATTAATTACATGAGTGATGGTGGCTAAAGGAAAATTCAGTTTTCAGAGAGGTTATATTTGTGTGAGTTCTGTGTGGCTGTGATTCTTACGATATATAATCATGAAAGGAAGATGTCATATCTTGCTGTGAATAAATAGTAGGTCAGATAATATCACTGTTCATATGTCACTTAATGGGAACTTACTATGTCAGAACCATTTACGTTGTTATAGCCAAAATATGATGTAAGTGTTTCAGTTATGAGTCCCGTTAAAGTTTTAAAATGTTCCATTCATTTGGGATGAAGGCATAATGTCATAAATTTATCCCCTGGTTCTAGTAATTTTTATTTTTTCCTAATGTGAAAATTACTTATTTTTATCTAAAAGAGAAATTAATTATGCTGGGGGACAGGGAGGGAAGAGAAGTAAAATTATGACACACTGTTAGAACTAAGTCCTAATATGACTTTTGGGCAGGGAGGAAGGGAATATTAAAAGGGACCAGGTTTTGCTTAAAGTAGACAACTGGGCCTGGGTCATCGACCTTCTGCCCCAGTGCCATTGCCTACAGAGACAGGTGGTAAATGATGGCATCATGCAGAGCTCTACTGCCCTGTGCAGCTTTTCCATTCCTGTGTGTTTCCATAGAAATCATACATCAGCGGAGTAAGCTGAATGAGGCCTATCATACATTCTTATTTCAGTATAAACTAGACCATCAGTAGTGTTGTTTGGGGTCAGAATGTTCTCCCCATACACAGACCTGTTCCATGCTTCTACTCTTAGCACAGGGAGTGTGAAAGTAGGAAAAAACTGAGACTGCTTCAATGCAGCAGCTGGTTGGTCCAGGGAAAGTTGCCTGTAGCTAATCCACACAGGCAACTATGTGACAGCATGCAGTAGAAATTCCTGGGGGCTTTGTTTTTTTTGGTTTTTTTTTTGTCTGTGCCACTGGCCCCTGCAAAAGTCTAAAAGATGTCATGACTCTGTGCCTAAAAGTGTTTGTGCAACCATGATGAGTAGGAAATCCCACACAGCTCAGAAGCATGAACGACATGGGAACATGAGAAAATACAGAAGAGAATGAAGGGATTGGTACTTGGAGGGAAAAATATATTTTTAAGTGTTCAACTGACATATACAGCCATTATAGTAGGGAATGAGGGAAACTTCAAGGCAGTATGTATGGCAGAATTCATAAATACCCAACAGCTGTAGCAACCTATTAGATAGATGAGCATATGCCAAACTGCAAAATAGGCAAAACAATAGCACTGCTTTTTAAGATGCAAAAATTATTTTATGAGTTTGAAATTGAAATTTCATAGCCCAGAAAGTGCATCTGAAAAATAAAGTAGAGTCCCGGATCTTCCTGTTTGATGTGAGTTAACAGAGAATTTCACACTGTAATCCTAAAAACATTAACATTTAACAAAACTTCTCACTTGTAGCAACAACAGATAATTCAGAAAGAGATGGGATTAGAATTCCATATGTTTCTGTGCATTTATTTAAAATAGATACATGTCTTGTTAATACAATTTCATCAATCATGCATGAAGAATTAGAGAAAAGAAACAGCATTGTAATGCAAAATGTGCTAATCTGTAAGAAGAAATATGTGATAAATTTTATAGGATTTCCATAGAACCCTACTGAAATTAGCAATTTCAATAGTTCTAAGTGTATTCGTTTGACTCGGGCGTTATTCATGCAAATACATTTTATTGTAAATTTGACATATATATGTGTGTATATTTGAGCCCTTTTATTTAGGATGTAAAGTTTTCCTGTTTCTATGAGTCAGTTGACACTCCCCAAGTCCAGATATATGTATGGATTTTTCTTTTCATTTATGGTGGTAGTTTTATGGGTGTAGTCCAAAATCATGGTTGATTCTCAGCCTTTTTTTATGCTGTCTCTAATTTATCTGCTATGTTCTGAATTGCTCTGAAAGTAGTAGATGCCTCTTTTCCTTAGTACATTTCACGTCTTATGAATAAATGCTGTGATTATATTTTGAACTTTTCTCCTTTATTATGTGCACTTTATGAAGCAATATGGGAGATGTTTAAGGCTTAAGTTCCCTGATAAATTGTACTGTAGCTGATGAACCTTCAGAGAGTAAAAAGGAAGGATTACACGGCTCTGTA